GTCGGAGTATGGTTCCCAGCCCATCTGCGTGTGTCTAAATATCTGGTGTCCGCGGTTCGGCTCCCTCAAGACCTTACCTTGAAGAAAGATGAAGAAGGCAATACAGTATGTCTTGAGGAAACTACATTGTTTCATATTGTTTCTTTGAGGTTGTTAGAAGGGGTCGAGCTGACTGAGAGGAAACAGCGCCCACCGTTGCAGGCTGTATTTTTCCAGCGGTTGGGCATGGATCTGCCGGATGCGGAAGTTGGGGGATGGCAAAGAGGGTTCCTTGGGACTTCCAGTTTTGTTGTTTGCTGTTAAGATGCATTTGATCGGGACTTCACATGGCGTATGGGCTGAATTGGGGCGTGGAATCGGTGGGCTTTTGGGCGTAGAAGCTTCATGAAGCTTCCCTGCGCAGCACAGCGATGCAGTGGCACATTGGGCCTTAAAGTCTTCAAGGTATCATCCGGTGTCCAAGAGTTCCCAAAGAGCATAAAAATTGCTAGCTGCTCACATGCCCCAGCCGAACGACACGAGCACCAGAGCCAAATTTCTGGAGTGCATGCTTCGGAGTATGGGGGTAATTACTGTAGAAGTCAGTAGAAGGTAGAAGGTTGATTATTAAAACTTTCCATATGGACCTCACGGGTGGTGGTCAAACTTCCATCAATTTTGTGACTTGAACTATGCACGTTTTTTCTGGTGTATATAAATGATGTCAGATCCGGGCTGAGCACAACTTTGAAGAGGTACAACTTCTTTCAAGTGAATTCCGCCTCTCAAATCCTCTACATTGAACATCCTCTTGGGCATTTTGGGGGCTGGCCAGTGTAGACTCGGCCCAATTCTTTCAGGCGCTGTGTCTCCTCTTCACGCCGGCATGTGCATTCAGCGCCTGGGGCGATCACAGTAGCTTGGCAGACCGGGGCCACAGTGAATGGGGGATGTGCAAAGAACCGAAGCCGAGCATCACAGGTCCAGTATACCTTGACTCTTCCAATCATCCAATCCCGCTATTTGGGGCACCCGAGTCTAACGAACAACCACCTAGACTTAGATTAGAGTCACACATTCAATTCTTGGAGGTGCTTGTGATTTGAGCAAACTTGGTTTGCAAGGGGTCCTCCCCACAGGCAGCCATCTCCCCTTCTGATGACAATCACAGCGGAAATCGATCTAGAAGTTGTTCATTAGCTGGGAGGTGGGGCAACAATCGAGCCCTATTCTACTACAACTTGCAATGGTACGATTGAGAGCTATTCAGAGACAGTTGCAACCACCCCTGCCTAAGGAAAGAACACCCGGAAAAACTGAGAGCCTGAATGAACCTGAACATGTACTCTTGGACTTGAATGTTTTTCGCTAAAAGCGGAGGCGTTGACTAGGGTTTTGTTTAGGTCTCCTCTTGGAAGTACGGCCCAATCAGCCCTTCCCCTTTACTGTAGATTGTTTGGAGGCACGAGTCTTTTGGTTCTCAGGCCCGAACGCAAGCCCCGACGGAAAAGCATGTGTTTCATAGAGCAGTTTGCAGTGGAAATCGTTGCTATTTTGCCTGTTTCGTTGTGTCCAGGTGCACAAAATAGACCTAAAACCAAAACTGCTATAGGTCTTATATTGTCTTACCTACTCAGATCTAGCTTCAGGCCGTCTATTGGGAGACAAGTACCGTTTCATTGTCAGGCACTGGCATGGCAAGGGGGCCGAGCACAGAGAGCTGGGAATTGGAATCCTGGAAAGGGGAGGGCCGGTAACCAGAAGGAGCCCCAGCAAGATCCAGCAGGCTTAAATAGCCGAACCATCGAAGGGGGGCACCAATAAATCACCCCACGCCCTTTTCTGGGACCTTTTGAATCCTTTTGATGAGGAAGATATTGTATTTTGTTTTGCTGGTTTGTCGCCTATGACCTTTGGCCTCGGTCCAGATTTGTTCAGTCTGATTGGATCTCCGGCTATGGTGCTGTTCCCAAACGATCAAGCTGCCCCATTCTTGGGCGAATCCTTGGCTTCGGAGCTGGAGAACGTTAACCTTCTCGTGGTCTCTGCAGCAGTTGGCTCTTGGAAGTCGCTTTCAGCTTGGTCACCCTATACTCTGAGATAGATTAGTCGCATCGGTTTGCACTAAATGTTGCCGTTACTTGCGTCGAAAGGTCTTCGGGAAGTCGCATCGGTTTCATGATTCCATGCTGTTTTGAGAACATGCGACATGCAAATGATCTAGCTAACCTTTTTTTCAATGCTACTGGGGCCTCGCTTTAAGTCGTATCAACTGGAGGAAAGTCGTATCAAAATGGTGTGCCCTTGGGGATTGGCTTTTCTATGGATGTTTGTTGTTGTTCTATTTGTTCTACGAACTGATGTTAATGCGCTGTGCCCATGCGTTGCTTGCTTGTGTGATAGATTCAACAACCTTGTTGCATCATTGCATCGTGTTTTTTCAACAGACAGCGTGAGCTATTAGGGTTCTTACTTCAAGGAGCTGCGTGTGTGCGTTTTCGAGCGTGGGTGCTGGTGCCGCTGAAGGGTGCCGCTGTTGTTCCAGTGTAGGAAGAGCTGCGTGTTTGCGTGCTCGAGCTTGGGCGCTGGTGCCGCCGCAGGGCGTGCTGGGGAGCTTGGGTGCTGGCGCGTTGCAGAGTGCCGCTGCTGTGTGCGCTTGAGAGCTTGGGCGCTGGTGCCGCTGCAGGGTGCTGCTGTGTGCACTTTGGGTTTTGAAGCATCTGTGAGCTAGAGCTCCTTGCTGCTTCCTTCGGCACCAATGGCGCAGGGCAGTGGTGACTGTGACATGATTGTCACACCTGAGAAGAAACACCTGGCTGCTGCTATTGCTGTTGTTGTGGTGGTGGTGGTGGTGGCTGCTGCTGCTGCTTGTGCTGCTTGTGCTGCTGCTGCTTGTTTGCTGCTGGTTTGCTGCTGACTTGCTGCTGGCTTGCTGCTGGTGTGCTGCTGGTTTGCTGCTTGTTTGCTGCTTGTTTGCTGCTGGCTTGCTGCTGGCTTGCTGCTTGTTTGCTGCTGGTTTGCTGCTGGTTTGCTCCTGGCTTGCTGCTTGTTTGCTGCTTGTTAACTGCTGCTGCTGCTGCTGCTGCTGCTTGTTAGCTCCTGCTGTTGTTGTTGTTGTTGTTGTTGTTGTTGTTGTTGTGTTGTTGGTGGTGGTGGTGGTAGCTGCTGCTGCTGCTGCTGCTGCTGGTGTGCTGCTGGTGTAAATGCCTACTGCTGCTGCTTCCGCAAAGGAAATGGAATAATTTCGTATAAACCCAAAACATGTTTCAATCACTAAAGCGCCTTGTAAACAGGAACCTGATGTGACCCTGATGTGACCCCGTCACATCGGGCCCCCCCTTGCAGATTAACAGTTTTCCAGTCACCTGATGTGACTAATATTGTTGACAGTACCTAACCTGCGCGCCCCACTGTTACAGTGGCCCCTTCGAATTGGGGAAAGTCCCTTGGTCCAGACAAGTCAGAAAGTCGGCAACGGTGCAGACCGGAAACGAGCGACTTCCAAGCCTTTAATGACCTGACACAATGGAATTCCCCATCATCAACATGTTCAATTTGTTCAATGGTGCCCTACCTTTAATCCCGTATACTGAGTAGATCGTGTCACGATGTCCAGGCAGCATTGCGAGAGTGGATCCACCTAGTGATGCACCTTTCTATCTATAGATTGGGGGCATGTAGCCGCAGCCCCACAACTAGACCAAGTGGACATGAAATGACATGAACACTGCGGAGTGACGGAACATGTCAGATCCTGAAATGTGCACCCCACACCATGCTCATCCACGCTCATCCATGCTCCACGTTAATTGAGTCGAGCCGTCTCCATCGCATCGGTCTCACATGTCTCACTGCGCTTCTTCGAGGCCTTGACCGTGGATGGGGTCATGAACTGGCTCGTGCAGAATGCTGATGCTTTGCAGCCAGGGAACCGAGCACGAACACGGCAGGAGAATGCGGCTTCGGCGGTCGTGCCAGAACCTTGGGGGTCCGGAGTCCGATACCCAAGCTACATAGCACTGTAGGTGGTTCAAAGTGGGGTTGGAATCCATGTGAGTGCAATTCACTCGGACCTTTTCTTTCTTGAGCCAAACATCGCCAAGTTAATGGCTTGTTTTGTGTGTGGGGGGTTTTCAAGAGTGCTTGGTACACTTCTTTACTCGCTCCCCCCGGCATTCTATGCCGCTTTGAACTTCACATGCTCCGTGGACCGGAGCGGATCAAAAACAGCGAGTACCCGACCCAAGCGGCCGGTCCGGAGATTTCACTCCGTCGACTCCGCAGGTGTTGGACGCCGTGCAGGATGTCATCGAGGAAGAGGCTCTCTTCTACAAGCCGGTCCACAAGAGCGACAAGTGGGACTACATCGACATGGATGGCGTCCGCTGGCTCATCAGGTATCATGGCAGCTCACGAGTGCAAAGGTTCCACCCGGAACACAGAAGCTGCCCCGAAGAGATCACGGACCTGGAGTTCATGAGGGTCACTCTGGCTTGGAAGGGCCAGGCGGATTGGCACCGTAGAGTTCAGATCGACAGCGATTGGCCAGAAGACGGAATCCTGAAACTCCACCTGGTCATCCATCATGCCTCCCGTAGGCCGCATCAGCATGGTCGGTGGAGCCTTGCCTGGCCTGTTCCAAGGCCGATCTGCAGCAGCTTGTTGCCGCCTCTCCATAGTAGGTGGAGCCATTGGACGCCCCGTCGCCACGGAGCCCGATTTGGAGACCCCTTGCATGAAGGATCCCGCTGCCTTCGAAGCCGTCCGCGCCGCTCGCCCCCGCGCTGCCGCCTGACTTGGCCTCGAAGATGCACTCGATGAAGCCCCACTTCCATAGCCCCGTTGTGTAGGCACCGGTGGTTGCGGTGCTTTCGCTGCCGATGACCCCTCCAAAAACCTGGCATTCGGGATGAGGCGGATGGTTTGTGTCTCCGTGTCCACCTCTTCAGGGCGTAGTACCCTCATGCCTTCGCTGGTGACCAAGATGGGCGGCCTCGTCACGTCATACGTGCCCTCATCCATCGCTGCCTGGGTCGCCTGCGAGGTCGTGTAGTGCACCTGTCTGGTTCATCTTGACCCAACCACTCGCGGCCACCTCGAAAGACCGCTGGAAGCCGCATTTGGATGCGGCCCCACACGCCATGGCTAGCACTGGACGCTTCCACCTCGAAGGTAGTTGAACTGGGAGCCTCTAGGCTACTGTTTGGGTCCCTTGGGTTTGTTGCTTCCGAGACGACATCCCAAGAGTTTTGCGTGCGGCCCGACGCATTGGAATTCATGGCCTCTTGTTCATTTCTTGTGTTTTCTTGTCTGGTCCGTTGTTGCGACCCTTCATGGTCTTTTTGTTCCCGTGACGGCGTTCGCCGCAGGGCACACAGGCGAGGTGGAGGTTGTGAGGAGTGTTCAAGTGACTTCAATTCATGTTGAATTCCCCTGTCGGAAAAAGATGAACACTCCCCCGGTCCCTGGCTCCCCGCGAAAACCCCACTACTCTTCACTACGTAGGCCATGCCAATCGCCAAAGATGCCACCAAAGCCACCCTCGTTGTTGTCGGCAAACACGTAGCGGCAACGCAACCAGCCATACAAAGTGCCAGCTTCGCCACTTTGGTCACAGCGTCCACCATCTCCACTTTGTTCTTCTCCTTCGTCCGTCACCTCCGCCACGTCCTCCGTCCCGCGCGTTCCCCTCTCTGGAGCCTGAAAGTGAACAAAGCGCCGGAACCAACTCCAAACGTTCTTGTCCACGATCGCCTTGGTGAACACGTCCGCGATGAGGCGTTTGCCGTCCAGGTGAAAGATGCGCCATGACCCTTCTCGAAGGCGTTCTTTGAGAACACTTGCACGCAGCCTCAGATGCCGCGTTCTCCATGGACCATCGGGGTTCTGGATGATGCTGATGGCCGCCATATTGTCACCATAGGTAGCACCGGCATTTGTGCTTGGCTGCCACTCCCCAAGGCATTCCCAGGGAATGGAGTTGCACGAAGGCCCAACCCACCAAAGGCCTCACGGGCCTGATGAAGCAAGGCTGCCGCTCCCGATCCAAGACCTCCACCATTGCCATTAGCTCCAGGAGGAAGAGGTAACAGACCTGCACCGGCGGGAAGCGGAGGAACATCCGGAAAGATCGGCACCTGCACCGTCTCCAGGGCCCTTGGTGGCACCGGAGTCTGCTTGGGTGTTGCAGCCGTCCTCTTCAAGGCTGGTGCCATGCTCGTGCTCGGCTCCAAGGATGATGCTCTCCTCGGTGGGGCGGACTTCGCCCTGTGCTCCTCTAGCAGCTGATCCAGCTGCTGATCCGCCGTCTGCCTCCGAGCTTTCGAAGACGCTCGCCTGCGGTCCATGGCGGCCATCAACCTGAGAACCTCAGGGTGGACTTCCACCTAACTTGGGCTCATAACCCATGTGAGTGCAATTCACTCGGACCTTTTCTTTCTTGAGCCAAACATCGCCAAGTTAATGGTTTGTTTTGTGTGGGGGGTTTTCAAGAGTGCTTGGTACACTTCTTTACTCGCAGAATCAATGGAGGGGAATTGGATGGCCCCATATTGTTTCGATTGAACTTGGCCCTCGAACCGGACGGATGCACCCTGGATGCAGATCCCCCGTCTCCAAGGCCCAGCATGCCAGACCACTACCTTAGGCGACGATGGACAGGAGTGGAGTTCTGAACTCGCGGTTCAGCACTTTTTTGCCAAAGGTATTAATTATGTGTTTGATATTTTTTTGGCAAGCAAATTCGTTCAAAAGCTACTTGGGAATAGTGAGGGAAATATATGGAAACATTTTACTGCAGGACCCTTGTTGACTTGAGATAGGATGATGAATTGCTGAAGCAAACAAACATATAAGAGAGGGGTTAGGGTCATTGGTTGGCCAGGCTCCCGTGTTTGCCACCCGGCCACTGCAGGGTCAACCATGTTTCACCATCCATACATCGTGGCGGAGCCTCTCCGCACGATCTTCCAAGTGACGTCAACCCAAACAACATCGGCCTCTTGACAGTGACCCGTTTTGGAGTCACTAGAATTACGCGAAGTTCATCCATGCGCCTGCAGTTCTTTCAGGGCCGCGACGAGGAGGGAATGAATAGGGATTCTTCACGATCCGCCCAACTGGTATTGATCCAAGCTGCCAGAAGATCAGATCAAATTGCTATGGTACCTATAAATTGAGATGGTCCAGATATGCGAGTTGATTTGGTTTCATGGCAGATATGGCTTTGGCAAACCACCTCCAAGTACTGGTAACACGACCTGACACCACTATTTAGGCATTCCTCGCCCCCAAGTGTTCGGACAAGTTGTCCCATCCCCATCCCTTCACAGTGCCCCTTTCCGGTCTTCTTCCTCGCGTTCGTTCCATGGCGCCCGCGTCGAACCTCACGTTTCTTGAGAAACTCAAGGCCTGTGGCTCCAATGTCTTAAATGAATGACGTTTTTCGCCCGTCACGCAGGTCCAATGCCTTCTATGCTCTCAAGGTGCCGTCCGGGATGTTCGGGATGTCCGAGCTGGTTTTCCATGGGCGGGTGATGTTCAGGAGTATAGTAATAGTAGTGACCGTATAGACGCATGGTAAGATCATCTTACCTATTTCCTTCCACCCAGAACTTTCAGATACCGTCTCTTGAACATACCTACCACCAGGCAATGCGGGCTGTGAGGAAGCTGTTGCATGCTGCATATATCTGCACATAGCGATGAGACATGGCAATTTAATTTACGTTGGCGAGCGTGTGGAGCATGAGTTCTGTGGAGCGTGAGCTATGGAACACTAGCTTTACATTTGTGGAAGAATAATCTTCCTTTGCTAGTGGGTGGGCATTGCCGGGACTCGTCTCCCGGGAACATTGGTTTCCAAATGAAATCTGCAGAGTCTGAGCAGGTGAACTCAACAGCCTTTCCCTAAGCATTGCTTCTAAAGAGCAATGAGCAGAGTCACCACCCTTTCCCTGAACTCAACACCCTTCCCCCTGAGCAGAGTCCTCTGTTCCGTTGCACTTGGGACTGAATGGTCGGTCTTGTTCTCTTCATCCACCCTGGCCCCGCCTCGCGAGGCACGTGGCGAAATCCCGGTGGCCCAGGAGGTCCCCGAGGAGCCGAGACCCGATTTCGGGGATCCAAGCGTCGATTTGGGGCAAAAGTGGGTGGAGGCTATCACTCTGAGGTTGGAGGCCGCCATCGCTCGGTGGAAGATGCCCAAATGAACATTTGTAGGCTTGAGCCTGCCATGGCCCTCTCCAAGCGGCAGAGAGTTCACGCCGTTTGCCAAGGATCTGAAGGGGATTTGCAGCCCTGAAGGGGGCTCACATCTCCAGGATTCTCACTTAAACCCTCCACTCACCGTTTACTTTAGGTGACCTTGATTGAACCTTTGGTCGGCCCACCAGTGAAGAAGAGGCTGAAAAAAGAAGCGTCAAACGGGCCGCGCCTTCGGTTTTTGTTCAGCTCAAGCTGTTGGCATTATACAGCCAGCTCCGGCCAGTGAACGAACGTTTTGGTTGGACTTGCAACCTGCATTTGAGGTGGTGAATAAGGACCTTGTTTCCAGTATATACCATTATATACATATGTTTAATTTTCCATTCGGCCCCAAACATACCCAAGAGATTCGCACAAATCTACGTCAACTCGTCAGCGGTCATCAATGGGTTGGTTTTGAACCCTCAACCACTTATGACATGCATGTACCACCAGGAGCTCCCAAAGCATCCCAAAGCCATGTTTCCAATTCAAGGCTTTCATCACCACCCACGCATTTTTGGTGCTGAAGAATATAATAGAATATAATATATATATATATAGTATAAGTTTTATCAGCTCAGTTGTTGCCCGAATACCTCAGTTTCTCCACAGCTGCACCATGGCTGCGCTGCGTCGCATCACTACTTCGACGGCTGCGTGGTCCTCGCTGCGGTCGCCGTGGAACGTGGTGCTGCGTGCGTTCAGTCGGGACCCAGCGGATGGCACACGGGCCAGAGAGCTCCGGCAGAAGGTCCTGGAGGATGGCGCAGACCGCGGCGCAGACCGGGTTTGTGTGGTGTGGCAGTGGCTGTTGTTGTTGTTGTTGTTGAAAGATGTGTTTCATCAATTAGGATGCTGTGCTGAGAGCCCTGACATCTCTGGAGTTTCACCGATTAGGATCCCTATCAGTGGCCTTTGAAAGGGTTTTTGCAGGAGTTTCAAGCGGATGAGCACCGGCTGCACGATGGCTGGGCCTGGATGGGCCAATTACAGAAGAAACTGGAAGAGGCACCCAAAAGGAGAGAGAGGGAGAGAGAAATGTTATATAGTGGATTGAGAGTATTGAGAGTAGATGGCACAATCCCCATTTTGGGTGGTTTGTCTTGAAGTTTGTGACCCATGAGGCAGATGCCCATCCCCTGTCGAGGCACGTTACCGAGGCAGGAAGACTCGACGGAAGCTGCAATATCCAGCGGATGAGCTCGGACGTCAGAAGCGCCAGGAGCAGCACGAGTACTGGCAGAACCAGGGCCGCTGAGGCCATGAGGACGTCTTCGGCCAGCGGAACTGCGTCGTCGCGGTGCGACGTCACGTCGCTATGTTTCTCTCTGGCCGTGAGGAACTCCCCACCGCCACCATTCCGTCTACTTCAACAGCCCAAAAAGTCGTGCAATTCGGACGTTTGGGGCCACCGCTGTGGTGCGAAAACAGCATTTGAAGAATGCTGAAATATCTGAAATTCGACCCTTGCGTCTCAAAGAGACCCGAAGCACAGCGGAGTCATAGCAGAAACAATGTTCCTCAGGAAGGTCATGAGTGGGTGGCACCACTTGAGCCTGCAGCGGCATGAGGATTTCGTCATCCTTTCGGGGCCATGTTCCATTTCAGGGTAACTCGTGATCACCCTTCCTCCAAATCCTCCATGGGAGTGGAAACGCCCAGTTTGTTATGCAAAATGAAGAATGCTACTAGTAGTAATGCCCTTTGTTACTAGTAACGATGCCCTAGTAAGGCCAGGCGCTACTAGTAGCGTCCTGCCTCCAGAAGATGGATGTTGCGTGCTCCCAACGTTCGCACCAAGACTTCTTGGTGCGGGAAGGCCGCCCTTTTGTCCTCCGACGAGCCAGATTGAAGAGTCAGGTTTGTTTTCACTTTTGCTTGGAATCGTCAGGTGCCATTGGCGACCTGTGCCTTGAAAACATTTGTCGGCTCAAAAGGGTACACGCGCTTTCAGGCTCCGGACTGCCCGAAACGGTGGCGTCCGGTGTCCATGTCGAATATCAGAATAGAGATCGAGCATCATGATGAGAATTCATTTCATACGACCTACAGTGCCACTTGGCGGAGTTAGGCGGGGCCTGGGGTTGCTGAGAGGGTGAGGAAGATCCTGCCCTCCTGCCCCAGAAGAATCCAGCATATGCGCACTCTCACCTTAGCTATCACGGCCCCCCATCCTGCAGAGATCATGAACTTTCTAGACTTCGTGGTGGGAGGCGATGCTGGCTCGGTTTGGCGAACGGGGACTCCACCTAGGGAATGATTTAGTCGGACTTGGTTGGTTCCCCCCACCCACGAGGACCAAGAAGGATTTACCAGGTCATCACTGTGACACAGTGGTGAGACAACCAGCTATATCCACAGCCCTGGCGGACCAGCAACAGGCCTTTACCCCACGAAGCACCCATATAGCCTTGGAGCAGTCCTTGGAGCTGGGAGCGACTCCCAATTCTCACTGCCCTGGGCAATGCTGGAGGCCATGTCAGAACCAGCTGAGGCCAAAAGATATTTGGAGTATGCAAAAGAGGTGGAGAGGCAGATGAACATGCACCTGGAGGACGGGGCATTCGTGAACCGAACACAGATAATTCACGCGGAGGGCGAGCACAGTAGAGCAAAACAATGCTGGATGGGGAACGACTTGCACTCCCTCATGCGAACGAAACCAGGACATGTGAAGGTCATTTGACTAGTTCGGGCTTGCTTCAGAGAATCAGCCAGCCCAAACGACTGTCACTTGGCTTTGGTGCTTGATTTGATCAACTCCTTCTTTTTGCGAGCAACTCTCAAAACCAGCTTGAGCAATTTGCTACTCACCCGGACCGTGCACAGTGCAGAGGCTGCGCGATGTTGTGCGCAGGGTTGTTCAGGGTCCCCGTGGAAACCAATCACATGTCGATGACACAAAAGGACTATCTATATATATATATATAACATATATAAATACAAAGCTGTGTTTGTTCATATGGTGTGGTTGTCAAACTGTGAGTGCCGCAGGAGAAAGCCATCCGGCACAAGGTCTTTACAAACCCAGGGCCTCCCACTGGTTGCTCGCCATATTGGAACTGCAGAGGTTGGTTCACCACCACCAAAGGCCGGCATGGCTGTCGCGGGCCTGCTTCAACTAAACGTCGTTTTTGTTTGACTCTCCTTGCATTTCAACATGTTTACGAATGCAAGAAGGTGTCACGTAGAAAGTTGCATCAATTTCCTACATTTGGGCGCGTACATGTTCACTTGGAGCTATTCTTTTCTATCTAACGCTGCAGCTGCCTAACACATTCGTAAACAAAAGGGGCAACCACAGAAGGCACCAATTACATCCAATTACTGTATCTAAAAATCATACATTTGGGATCATTTGGGTGCAAGTATTTCCACGTGAAGGCATAAGCATTATTCGAAGGACTCTCTACATAATGCAAAACATATAGCACTTCTGACATTTGGATACTTGAAAGGTGTGCCTTTTTGAAGACACCTCTTCCTTCGTAGTTGCATGTATTTGTGGGGGGGCCAAGCCGCTTTTTCTTACCAATAGGTTCATTTTGCATCATCCGTGTGTGGGTGTTTGCTTGCAAATCGGCCCCGCAGCAAAACATCATTCACCAGGCTAACACTGTAAAGACTGCAGCCCGAACAACGTCTCGAAGGAATAATTATACAAAAAAATGTCCATCATTGATGCATTATTCTAGACCTTAGACCTCAGCTAATGTGGTCCTCTGATTTATAAACGACCCTAGGATAATGACACGTTTTTTCCTGCACAGATTTATAAAGGCCCCCAGAATAATGTCATTTCTTTTTGGGAGGGGTAGTTGTAGTGGAATATTTTTTTTTGTTATAGTTTACTTTTTCCCTTTTGATTTGCTTTACTCACCCTTTATTCCTTATTAACTTTTCCTAAGCTCTTTAGTTTTGAAGCTTTCCAAAAGTTTCCAAAAGTCAGTGCGCACTTTCTTTATAACATCCCTTATTCAAAAGTATTGAAAAACAAAACAATCATTCAAGCAAAGGGGGTAGTCCAGCAAGCAGGGGGGGCCGTAGAATAATGTCTAGAGATTTGAGGCTTTAAATCTTTATTCCTTTTCTTTGCCTTGTGATTTGCTTTACTTACCATTGAAATTGCAAGTCTTTGGATTCAGATTTCCATTGAAATTTCAAAAGTTAGTTCTATTTGCATTGATTCATTCCCTTTTATTGTAATTAATATTCCAGATGTCTTCAAAGTTAGGTTTCTTGATTCCTTTTATTTTAATATTGCCAGAGTAGCTCCAGAGGTAGCTAGCTAAGGATTCCTTATTTAATTATCAATTGATTGATTTTCTTATACATTATATTGGAGGCCTTGGCTGTTGAGGGGGGGGGGGAGTTTCTAAATCAAGAGTCAACATTACCAATCCCGGTGAGACGGAAAGTAATCCAAAGATCCCAGCTTGGAGGTGAGAAGGTGCGCTACCCTCGGCTGGGTTCCTTCGAGATCATCGTCGTGGTGCCCAAGAAGTTTGCACCTCCAAGCTCCGGATTGCCCGAAATCATTCCGGTTCCACGGCCGGTCGGGGTGACGGGTCGGACGGGTCGGACAGGTGGGTGGTGGAAGGGCTCCTGTTTTTGATCATCTTGGACGTGTGGGACGGCGATTGTTTGTTTTGTCGGAAGCGTTCGGGCTTCACGAAGAGAATGAGGGTGTGGGTTAGAAGAAAACATAGGAAAACTATACAGTAGAAAACTATGTTGGATGTAGGAAGAGTGTCATTTATGAATTGTATGAATGGGGTTTTGTCAGGAGATTGTCGACATATGAGATGATGCGTTCAGATGAGTGTTGGTGCAACTTCTCCCGTTTGGGGGG